CATAACTTTGGTGGCTGAAAAAAAGTAATTAAATACTAAGAAGGAGATGGTTGCGTCAACGCCAAGAAAATGACCCTCAAAACGTGGCATTCTCGTAACCTAGAGCATAAAATAATTTATAAATTTACAAAAAAAAAAGTGTCAAGGGAAACCCCTTTTCTCAGAAAAATGATAATTATAATTTAAAGTCGGCCGAAAAATGCAAAAAAAATTAGTGAATCTTTGCATCAAGGATGAATGCCTAATCCAAATTCAAGTTCGATCACAAAAAATCAGCAATGATTTATTGTAAAATTGAAGGTTACAAAGCAATATACTATATAGAGAGAGAGAGAAAGGGTCTCGAGGGGAATATATTTTATTTTCACCATCATTTGATGAGACAAATGTCATGGAATGCGTCTTATTACTCTCAACTATATGTATTATAATTTAGTTCCTACAGATTTAATCAATATTGACTTGTCTTTGTAATATTATACACCTCTATTAAACAATAACAAAAAGACTTTATACAGTTCTGATAGGGTGTATTACAATTAAATGAAACTAGTACTATAGGCGTAGAGTCACTCCAAGGAATAATTTGACCTAGTGGTCTAAACCCATTTTATTATTTAAAAAACGAAAACAAAATTTTTGCACATTATAACAATTCTAGACCAAAACCTTTTTTGGTAGAGTGCTCCATGGGAAAAAACGAGTATGTTAATTATAGGCTCCATATGCTCCAAAATAAAACAATTATTAGAGATTCTTAGTTATACATTTGTTATTGTTTTGATACACTAGTTGTGCCATAAAGTTGGAATAGTAGAATCTTATGTGCTAACCTTACTTATTGGTCATTCAAAATACAATTATGACAGGTTTTGCAGAAAATACAAATATGATAGGTTTATGATTCGATTCCCTTTCATACACTAACAATTCATTTTGGGAATATGTTTTTTATGAGGAGAATTAACCATGACTGATAATTGTGGTGTATTCACAAAATC